ACAAGAAAACTTTTTAGCTGTGGGTGAGAGGTTAAATAAACCTTAGTTTTTTGTGAGAACAGATGACAGAGAAGAGGCTTGTCTACAAAGTAGGCCTGGTTCTAAGCCAGTCTGAAGGAATTCTAACAATTCTTGAAAGCCCACAATAGAATTACTGTATCGATGTGCTTTCTGCAGGACCATTTGATGAAGAACTTCCAAGTTGCCTCATGTATTTGTAACATATATGGATGGTGTGAAGGTAATGATGTAGAAATCAATTTGTTGAAATAGCTCAGTCCTAAGAACCTCTGTCACTCACCAAGCTGCTAACTAGAGATCCTCTGGATTTGTGTTCTATAATGGACCTTGAGTGAGAAGACTGAGAGTTACTGGAAGGACCAGGCACCTTCCACTACTAATGGAAGAATCTGAGGAAATCAAGAATGGCAGGGCCAGAATGGGGCTTCACAGACACTTGCTCCATTCTCACTTTCCTGAGCACACTAGCGGGTAGCATGGTTGGAGAGAAGAAATAATGAAGATCTTGGGCCATGCAGTGATCAGGGCATCCTGGTTCTCCACTTTTGCTGCTCAGGTGCAGGAGAAGAATCTGGGTAGGTTGGCATACTTTGGGGAGGTAAACAAGTCTACTTGGAGAAACCCAAATCTGTTCTGAATTTGTCTGAATGCCCTCGAGTCAAGACTTCATTCTTGTAGTTCTATACTATCCTTGTGCTGGTAGTTGACAGTAATACTGCATCCACTGTCTGTGCTGGACTGAAATGGATAGAAAATGCATTTTTATGGTAATGTCCAACTGATGAGGGTGAATTAATAGTTGAAATGGGCATGAAATAAGTTATATCAGTGTACTATTGATAGGCATTAGATAATTAATCCTTACATGTGTTTTAGTGTTTACATCAGTAAAGCAATCTGCTCACACATGAAGAATTTGGCTTCCTCAGTAATCTTGACAATATTCCACTTGCAATTGGATGGAGAAAAAGGTCTTTTTAATATTTACTATGAATCCAGGGGGCTGACAGGGCCTCTAATGTAGTCTGAAAGGCCCTTTTGGACTTGGAGAGAGAGGAAGAAATTAACAGAAGGTAATCCAAATATGGCTGAGTGACCACACCCTGAAGATACAGGTTTGCTACCAATGTCATTAATAGGGTCAGATGCTAGACCAGATGGTAAGATTTTGAACTGAAAATTACTATTGCCCAATGCAAAATGAAGGTATTGCCCCTGACAAGGCCAGACAGGTACATCTAGGTATGCCTCTGTAAGATGTACTGGTGAAAGAAAATCTCCAGAAGAACCTTCAAGATGATCCCCAGAATTTCCCTTCTGAACCTCCTGTTGATATACAGTACTTGAGATCCAGGTATGAGTGACAAAATTTGCTCTTTTTCTGGACCATAAAGAGGATGGAGTACACTCTCATGAAACTTTCCTGGTTTGGAACAGGCTTCACCATTCCAGTCCCAAGGAGATTTCCAGAGAAACAACCGCCTCTTTGTTTTTATTCCTCAAGACTGTTGACCATAGTAACCTGCTCCTGGAGGATCTCTGAGAAATATATGTAATAGCTCTCTCTGATAGTTTGGAGCAGCCAGTGATCTGGGATTGATGTCTCCCACACTGGGGGAAAAGTAGGACATGTCCTCCCACTGTGAAGGAGGGACTGGATGAATGTTGATAGTTTTGTTTAATGCCTTACAAGAGGAAGATGAATTGTTGGTTCAGGACTGATTCTGAGGACACATCTGGTATTTAGACTAGAATCTGCACCTGGACAACAGAAGTTACAAAATCCCTGGGTCTGAAAAAAAAAGGGGATGTAAGGAGGGAAGGGTCATTTGGGGTGCCGCTTATTCCTATGGATACTGTAGTAGGCATAGCCTTCTTTTAAGACTTACTCTCCATAAGGACATATTTAAGGTGTTCCTTTATAAGGAATTGTGGCCAAATTCAATCTTGAAAAAGAACTCATATTTTAGTGCTTCAGCCACACAGATCTTCTTGCTACTGTAGCTGCTGAGTTCACTCTGGCTAGGAAGATGAGTCATATGTAGTATCTGCTATGTAGATGAAGGATTTGGTTCCCAACTAGCCCCGTGAACTGAAGCCTTTATATACAGTCTGTGAAGAGGCCTGTGCTGGTTGCTTTGCTGTAGCTCTAGACTGGCAGTCGACCTTAGCCTGTAGAAAGAGTAGAAAGCAGCTGAGACGTGGACTGGACAGTATGTCCAGGCTTGTGTTTTGCCAAGTTTCAAAATGCAGACCTTCTGAGTGATGGACACAGCCCGTTAAATCATCCTGAAGTAAGAAGGGAAGGAATCCTGTTTACCAAGAAGGTCTTCCCCCTCATGGCTACCTCAACGTTGTTACTGAAATACAGAAGCATAGGCAATGAGAACAGAGAAGTGGAGGGAACGGGTGAATGGAGGAAAATGTGGGAGGCGAAGAAATATATACGTACAGCCACACTAATGGCTGATATGGTATGGAGTGAGAAAATGGCTGACTGTTGTGAGGGGATTGCCAGAGTGCACTCTGGGTGGCCTTAGAAGCAGAGTTGGGGGGGTACAGTGTGAAGTACCATATTATTTTGGCAGACTGTGATATGTTGCCATGGCTGTAGCCTGAAAATGGGGAGGGTTCCCTATGCCAGCTACACAGACCCCTTTCAGTCAAATTGTACTGTAATGCAAGAAGAGAAGTTTCAATAGTTTTGTCAACCTGCTCCACTTCCTCAGAAGTATCAGAGGCAGCCTGGTGCTGCCAGAATCTTGTGGCCACTATTTTCACAGCAGTCTGAGGAGATAACCCTCAGAAAGCCACTCCACTTTCCTCAGATTTAACTATCTCAGCTAAGTGTTGGCTGTGCTTCAGCCTGAGAGCTACAGGATCAGCTATGGAGGCAGATGTCCACTGTGAAGAGGAGGCTGCAGTGGCATCAGGCAATGAAGAAATCTTTGTTCCCAAACAGCTCCCAGGGAGGAATGCAAGGAGGGCCGAATCATCCTGATATGCTTGGGAGCTAGAGACTTTGCAAGTTTTTGTAGCTCTTGGTTGCTTTGGCAGCCTTGCTGGAAGATCTCCCCACAGGAGCCATGCCTGGTAGCAAGAAATCAGAAAGAAATGAGGGAAAGGAACGGTAAAGTCAGTTTAGGAGGTGGGGAGGGGAGTGCAATGGTAGGTAGAGAAATAGAGCAAAAAGTACTGGAAAGCCAAAAGAGTCTGTCCAGAGCAAGGCAGGGGAAAAACTGGGAGAAGCCAGTGATGGAAGTCATTATAAAGCTCTTCAGGGTTCAGTTTTCCACCTTTCGTGGGTAGTGATGGGACTGACCCTAATAAATATACAGTATACGTGTACAAAATGGCAGTGCCCAGAAGCACAAGCCCTTGGAGACACACACAAATTGCATACCTGCTACTTCCACACCAATATTTCTATCGCTGCTTGAAGATACAACAGCAGGTTAAATGGTCATTCTGATCTAGCCTTTCTACCTCAGATGCCAAAGGAGAAATTTTATAAAGCACACAAAGCTCTCCTGGATTGTAGCTGAAGATATTGGGTACTTTTATGCAAACAGCACAAAAGAAAATATGCCACGATGATGACAATGTTATCTCCAGAAACAATGGCTCAAATAGTTTTTGCATAAGTTTGCCAGTGGAATACAAACAGCTAACTCTGGAGCCCAAATGCCTCAAGTTAAGAAATCACTACAGACAGTACCGACTGTGTACAGAGTTGCATCACTCAGCAAACAATGGATGATGTTTACACTGGTGTCCATGTAGGTTTCCTCCAAAAGCTGCACTATTGCATTATGCCAGCATAATCATACCAGAGGTGTCTGTCTGCTATGCACATTCTACAGCAAAACTTCCAATGCATGACAAATTCAATAACCTGATCCATATGAACCGTGAAGTGTAACTGTTTCACTTCTACCAGCCATGGGAGGAAGGGTATTAGAACAACTGAAATCCCTACCCTCCTCAACTGGCTACTGAGATTTCACCATCTATTGGCTGTGAACACACTTGTCAAGCTTCTGCATCAGCAGCTAAAAACATGTTCCCTTAGAATGAAAAGGCATGAATATTCTCCAGATCCAGCATTTGGAAAATAAACCCCACCTGGTCAATATTTTTAGGGGAGAAGATGGATTATGAGTATATCCAACAGCTAGTCATGTTTGGATTGCTTCAAACTCCCATGAGAAAAGACAACATTCCCAAACACATTCTTCTCTATCAAACATGGGTTGTTTTTTGTTTATTCTTTGAAACTTGACAAGCACACTAACATCTGTACTTGTGGAAACATCACAAGGAAACAAACAGGAATTCTATACTTTTTTTCTTCCTTTTAAACCTTATTAAAAATGAGGTTGGTCCTAAAAATATAGAAAGAAATCAATTTAAATTCACAAAAACTGTACATTATCAAAAATTCACTAAAACAAACACATTTGGTTATTCATATAAAAAGTCTGATTCCCCTCCCCCCGCCCTCCTGCTGTTCAGAGCATCTCACAGGATGATGGGTTAGTTGGTTCTTTTTATTTATTTATTTCAAATCAATATGAAAGGGGAAGAAAAGCCAGTAGCTGAATGATAAGGCCAATTCTACTTGTAATTTGCAATTTTAGTTTTTAAAATCCAAGTAACTTTCAAAAACAACAAGGTATTTATAAACTGATTGAAAAGACCGTACCCCTAATGAAGATTAAGATAAGGACAAACCTGGATTCATTCTCTTAAGGTCTAAAAATTCAAAATTTCTATAGCAAAAAACCAAAACAAAACCCCAACAATTTACTCTTTCTAAACTCTGGAACTTTCTCATAACTGAGGGAAAAAACAAAAACCCAACAGATCAGGAAAAATTACTTAAAAAAACAACAACACCAAAATGAAGTTTTGTTACAGCACAAGTTTAGATAAAATATAAATATTTATGCATAATATAAAGTCAGTTTCAAATAGACTTCAAATCTACCTCTTTATTTAAAAGCAAAACAAAAAAATCCCAAAATTTAAAATAAAATAATGTTTTGAGGTTATTTGATAGAAAAAGGCTACGTTTGTTGAAAACAATGGGATGGGGGAGTGAGGCAGGGGTGGAAGAAGCACAGTAAGGGAGGTTTCGGTCTTCAGGCTACATCACCTGTGGTTACATTTTACTTACATCAGTGCTCTTGCAATTGGATTGGTTGACGCGGGTTGGGGGAAAAGACACACACACATATGCACGCATGCACCTCACTCAGATGTAGCACAAGTGGACATAAAGGAGGAAAGCCATCTCCTGGTGGACCCTGCCAGCCATTTATCTGCCCCTAAGTGATACCCGTAATTAACAATGGTTTTGAGGAGCAAGACTGGGTATGAAAAGCAGCAAGGGAGTTAAGGTTCCAGAGAGCGGCTTTCAACTTTTATGGTCCATCTAAAGTAGTGAAACAAAAGCAAAAGAACCTAACTGTTTCCTCAGATTAATCCCAGATGGCCCTGTCTCTGCCTCAGATACAGGAACACTGGCCGAGAGACTGGAGCTAAACCAACAAGAGCACTGCCTCTGTTCTAGCAGATGTCCGGGGTCTCAAAGTCCATGACTCCTGAACATGGTACAGGTCAAGAGACTTTGTTTCCCTGGCAATCAATCTTGCTAGAAACCAACCATCACTCTGCAGCAAGGTGAGGTGGGCTCTCCAAAATCAAGGAAGTATTTGGCATACAGACTGCAAGTAGCAATCTACATACCATGAGGGGATGGCTGACAGAGAGAGACTGTATGATGGCCTATTCTTCTGCCAATTGACAACTGTTATAGGAACTACATTTTTAAAGGCCATCTACCATCTTTTATAGCATGCTTTTGCTGTGATCTCTAGCCATCATTCTGCTTTTATAAGAGATACTGTACATGAGGGATGGAGGATTGTTTGGGAGACTGGTCTGGCTTCAGCACAACTGTCTGAAGCTTGCAAATTTCTAGCACCAGAAATCTGAGTGCAAACACTTGAAGGTAAGATGAGAGGAAAACTGTCCAAAGCTCCCTTTTGCATCAGACATCTCTTGTTTCACTTGGCCATAATCTACCACAAGAACGGCTCTTGCACAATATGAAATACTCATGGATTTCTATGACATACCATTTATTTTCTGCAACCTATGTTTGAGCTTACTAGTGGGTTTGAACATGTTTATGACTAATCTGGTGAGAAAGGATGGATTTTAACTTGTTCAAATGTAGGTTGCAGAGAAAATGTGAAATGTTATAGAAATCCTCCCCCCACTCCTATGTATTTTAGTAATCTCAAACGAGCATGCAGGGAATCCACTCCCAGTGGATTGTGCTTGCAGATCTATCACTCCCCAAAGCTAGGCAAATGTACATCTTACCTAAGCAGTGGCTGGGGTAAGACCTGCTATACATACTAAAGCAAATTACAAATCAGTGCAACAAGTGCCCTGGCCTACAAGGGAAATCAACATGGTCAGTACAAATCAAGATTGTGCTTCCCCCTCTGAGATCATGAGTTGAGAGAGTTGAAAAAATAGGCTACAACATTAACAGCATTCACACAGGGTATGTTTGGGTGTGCAAGCTGGGGACAGAAACTAAAGGAAATGCCTAATGAGCAGCTCTAGAACTTCAGACTGAGGACAGCTGTGGACATTACACAACAATTAAGCTACTCTGGCTTCCTCTTTTCACACTTCCTGTACAACCACATAAAGAGGAACTTGCACGCCTCCTCTACAGTGACACACATCCTGAGGGCGGTATACAGATTACTCTTTTGCTTGCAATTTGCATACATGGTCCAAAGGTGCACTTTGACTGAATCCCAGTCAAGAAAACCCACTGAATTTAAAATGTGGTCAGAAAACCAGAACTTTCATGGAAAACCATGACAATTCTCCATCACTGTCTTTCACTAAATCTTAATATTTATCCAAATCTCAGATTTTGTGAAGGACAATGATGGAAGAACTGCTTCTTTTGTCTCACCTCATTCTCAGGGAGGAAATATCTATGATAGACTGAAAGTCACATTTCAAGGCAGGAAAGAAACCATTCTGCCAGATATATACATAAGACTTTAGATCAAGCTTTGTAGACAGTAGCCATCCCTGAGGAATAATGCTAGGGCAGAGTCTGGTGGGAGGAGGGGAGGACACAAATAAAACCATGGTCTCCAAAAAAGCTGGAACAGGCTATCCAAAAACCCATCCACTTCCTCATCAGATATAGCTTCCCCTCATCTCCGCTCCTGCAAGTTCCTGTACTTTGGTCCCTTGTCGCTAACTGATACATTCCAGCATGTTACCCATAATCAGAAGGAAAATAAGAAATTTTCAGAGCAGAAAGGAGTTTGTTCTAGATTACCAGAATAGATTTTGAGTTACCCTGGTGAAGTGTTGTTCCCTGTGAAGGTGGTGGGTGGGTAGGGATAGTGAGACGCTTCTGTGGTTTGCTTGCCTATAGGAAACAGATGATTTGCTTGATACTATTTCTTTGTGGACACTTGGAATTATTCCTGTTTTGTTTAACTCCCTTACAAACAAAACTTAGAATAAACCAACTCTGAGCACATGTGTACAGATGGGGATATTTACCTAGTTTAACCACATCTGGGATTTTAAAATTCCCTGGCCCCCTTATTCAAAGGGCTTCAGTAATGGCCATCTGTCAAAGGAAGGGTGACCTCTTTGTTAAGCAAAGGACAACACCCTTGGCAAAGGGAACATAGCTTGCATTTGCATGGATATGATCCCTCAAAACCCCACTCCATCCCCAAATGCACACCAACTTTAAGCAAGACTCTTCTTGGTTCCCAACAGGAGATCAGAACACGAGGGAAGGAAATGGGCACAGCTAAGGCTGGGCTGTTCAGAAGGACAGGTGGAAAGAAGAGCTGAGACAGTTGAGAAGGTCAAGGGGCATGAGAACAGAAGCAGCAAGTTTCAGTGTCATCAAGGTTGTCATTTCCAGAGGCAGGAGTTATCTGCTTTTATACGTTTCCACGCAACTCTAAAAAGAAGGAAAACTTAACGTCCACATTACTGGCCATTAATGCATGGTACTGACACTGCACAGAAAAAAGTGTTCTTACACATTCACTAAGAACTATTGCTATTATTAAATATCCCCAGTGGGGTTGTGGGTGGTTGCTTTTCCATCTGTAAATAGGAAACGTTTTAAATTATTATTTGGCTTACACAGTCAGATAGCTTTTGTTACTTTTGAACGAGTAGGTGGGGAGAGGGCTTCTGAGGATTCAGGCGGTGAGTAAGGCCGCCCCATTGCTAAATGTCAGTCCAAGTCCAGTCATCATGAGGGGGGAAATTAAATCAGCAGGTAGCAAGATGAGCTCCAGAAGAGACAGTGTGCAGCACAGAGGAAAGGGGAGGAGCTTCCCCTTTAGGTCCTCTCATTTCAACCCATTCTGCCAGCTTCATGGGGTCGTCTCCTGTTTTCCCTGATAAAATTCCTCCCACCGGCTCTCGAAGAACTGGCGCATGATCAGCCCTGCCTTTCCCACCTCCGACTCATCCTCATTAAAGGCCCGACAGTTGTCAAATACCAGGGCAGCATCAGCAGCAAATTCCTCACAACTTGTGTACCTATGGAAAAGAAAGAGCAGGAATGATCTTTTAGGCTAAGAAGCTTCACCATTCAAGTGGAAAATCACATAAAAACATAGACAAAGCACTGGTCAGTAGCCTAAATTCATGAGGCTTTATCCATTTCTAATCTCTATGGCTAAAATCCTGTTAGTTTACATGACTGAGTAAGGATAATCATAGAAGCACAGTCACTGACCAAGGCATATCAACTATATACCACTTGCTTGTGCAGTTGGTCATGCAACCCACTACATAATGGCCAGAGGCAAAAATGGAAGATACCACTTGTCTAACTGCTGTTCCACATGCAGTGAATTCGAGAGAATATTTGGCTATGGCTCTCCTGTCACTCAGTTGCAACATTCTGCTTTTCAGTCCCCTGCCCTGAGTGATCAGGTAAGGTATAAGATATTTATAAACAGTAAGAGGCCATGGTACAGCCTGGCAGATTTGGGAATGCAACTGCAGCTACTATTTCCTACAGGACTGCAACACACTGGGTCAGATTAAGGTATGGACACAGTAGCATTGCCAAAGGCATTCGCTTCACCCACCTACCCAACATATTTAGCTTAAAGCACCACTATCTGCAGGTGTAATTAGAAAAAAGAGGCAGTGCTTGTAACAGGCACAGCATGATCACCAAAAGGAAGTGAGTGACAGAAGGAAAGATTTGTTGTTGCTCACCTCCACCAATCAGGAAGCACATTGAGTTGTAAACTCTCTTAAGCAAATGAGCACTGCCTACCCACATGACTGGATTGGGCCTTCCTACCCTGGGCCTCCTCCAAGAAGAAGTATCTTAATTGTCAGTACAACTATGGAGGGTTCACTAAATCACTAATCAGGAATACAGAAAACAAAAACAGCAAGAACAAGGGTGTCTCAGGACCCTGAAATGATCACACTGATTATGATATAAGATTTTATACAGCACAGATTCATTTCATCTGAAGGGTGAACTATCTTAAATCTATGGTATACATATGACAAAAGGGGGAGAATGGGGGTTGGAAACAATAAAGAGAAAAAATGAAATGTAACTGTATGGACAGTGACAGATATGTTCAGGCTTACAGCATGACCTCACATCTGTAGGCTTCCTCTTTCCAACCTCATGCCAACAAAGGATAATACTTCACCCATCTGATAACATGGACCCGAGCTCACAAAGCCATATGCCATAATCAATCTCTTTTAGTCTTTAAGCTGCCTTCAGACTCTTGTTATTTTGTCGCAGACAGAAGGACAGAGAGATAAGGACTACCCTTTAAGAAACAAAACCCCTTTTTTCTAGAAGCATGCCCAGGTGAATAGATTTTGGTGTCTTCTTTTTTCCTTGTCAAATTTGATCACAAATTGCACATCACTGCAAAGGGTAACCATGCCCATCTCACCCTAGCACTTTTTCAAAGGTTTCACAACCTCATAGACCTCAGTCATTTGAAGGTATCCCCTGCCATGGATTTAGCCTCTTTACAGTGTCATCTTTTCCCAAATAAGCCCTGTGTAGAACTTGTGCTCTTTAACTAAGCAAGAGCTGGCCATAGGATGGGATGCTGCATGAGACCACACAACATGGCATGTGCTCCCTTCCAACTGTACAAAATTAATTACATTGAGAACATATATAACCTCCAGGTGGAGGTAAATCCCCACCATTAAATACAGCAGGGTAGTGGCTTCACAGCGCAGATTTTATATACAGTCAATTACATAAATAGTTACATACTGATTTATTATAGGTAGGGCACACTTTCGAAATGTCTTGAGCTACCATGGGTATTATCAATCTTGCCCCTCAGTACTTACCCACCACGAAGCAGCCGTGCCCTCATTGTGGCAAAGTCCATGGGATTTTTGATGATTTTCCGGTAGCCAGGCACTAGCCGAGGGTTAACTGGCTCCAAGAAAGGCCACGCAGCTTCATGCGATTCCATGTCCATCAAAATGATCCTGACAGAATGGAACCAAGACTGAGTCAAAGGCTAGTGTAACAGAATAACTCAGGGGTAAGGTGAGAGGCTCTCCCAAGAAATAAGGTTCAGGGGGCTGTATACACAGTCTCTTTCCAGGACAATACAAAGCCAAGCACAGAGCTCATTCCAGCACTGGAAGCTACTCACTTTCAATTATCAGTTCACATTTCCATGTGGCTTCCTCCCTTCTCCCATGTTTTCTGCCGCCCCCCAAATGCTCCATCTGACTCTGCCCACAAGCCCTGCCGGCTTTGTGGAAAAACTTACTCGCAGAAGGTGAGGTCAGCGCTCTGGCCTCGTGTCGACACTCTTCTTCGCTTGGAGGGCGAAAGGCCTTCACCAGAGTATCGGGATGGCACGCTTGCCAGGCTACTGTGCTGTTGGGATGTGGCTGCTCGGGACCGAGGGCTGAGCTCTTCCTGTCCACACAGAGCTGCAGTACTACCACCTTTCCGCTTCTTGCTACGCCGTGGGGAGCTATAGCCATCCTGATATTCTCCTTGCATCTATATCACAGGGGGGGGGAATGAGGGGAATGGGGCAGAGAGAAAAAGAAAAGAAACCACTATCATTTCCTGAGCTCAGGTATCCATGTCAGCCAGGGATTCTCCCAGAGGCAAAGTAAAAGAAGTTCAGTGCCATCTGCTAGGGATACTGCAGGTTCCCAGGCAGGCAGGCGGGCACACGCATGCACGGACGCACACACACAGCACAATAGTGACACTCCCTCCCCTGGAACACACAGCCTGTTCCATTTCAGTCCAAATCACAGAGGCAAAGGAAGCCCTGCTGGTCAAGAAGGAAAGCTCAGGGAGTTTGGAATGAGACAGATTCTAGCCCATATGGAGCCAGCACCTGAGCGATGCAGAGGGAGCAGAACCAGTCGCCAGCTGGCACCTCGGTCATCTTGGGCCGGTGGCAGTAGAGGTGGCAGCCACGATCGCAGCTATCACATAGCAGCAGGTTCTCATCATCGTCCCCTTTTCGGCACACTAGGCAAGTCTGAAGGGCAGGGAGAACAAGGAGGGGTGAGGACGAGCCCCAAGCCAGCCAAAACCCCATTCAGAAGGACAAAGGCAAAGCTGACCCCTAAGTGGGCTCCATTCTCCTTTGACCTCAAGTTCAACTTCTTCACAACCAGCCTCATCCAGGTCAGACCTCTGCTCAGGTCTGCTTTGTTTCCTCCAGCACAGGCTTAGCTATATCTATGCCTCTAAACCAGGATTAACCTGCACCAGCTACTTACATGCATTTTCTCATTTACACAGTTGCTTACACATCCTACTCTGAAGAGACTTCTCCCCCCACCACAGTGTCCCTTCCTCACCGCTCTGACAACTGACTTCTCCCAGGCAATAGAGTGCTCCAGCTGATAGATGCACAGAGAAACTTGGGCTGCGCTGTGGCATTTCTCCAACGTCTGACGCCACAGCCGCATCCGAGGTGTGATTTCATATGAACTGCAGAGGGGAAAAAAAAGGTGTTGAATGGAACAGACAGTCTGACCTAGCAAAATAAATTATTAAGATTGGACTCTCTCAGTGGCTGTTGCAGATGGGAACATGCTGAGAAATGAACAGGTGTCAACGTTCATAGTGTATGTTGTGAGTTTCAATAGCATATGTTGTGAGGAGAACCCAGAGGGATTACTTGCATACCTACTACTCTAGTGCTTCCATGTGATCAGGTGGACCATGGAATAAAGTTTTGGTAGTGAACTTGCCCCAACTCTCAATCTCTAGGCTCAATGGACATGGATCCCACTTCTCCTACTCTGCTTCCACAGACTGTCAGCAGAAAGTGTGCAAAGAAAATATCATAGCAGCTGAAGCAGGGAAGGAGAGGGGGCTGTGTGACGACACAAATGACCTTTTATGCCAATAAAGGTGATGATGACGACGACGACACAAATGACCATTTACAGAGCCACAGGTACAGGCAACCAATCTGTTCTACTTTCAGGTCTCTGTGCATCACACTTCTGGGTAAATAACAAGCTGAATTAACTGGAGACAGGACAGGCACACAATCAACAACAGCATAATGCTCTAGTACATAAATAAGGCATCCCATCTCATCCATACATTTGGTCTACAGTGGTCATCAAAAGAAGAAGGGCAAGATCATATGCACACCTGAAATAACTCTGGAAAGGAGACCCCCCCCCCAAAAAAAAAAAGGAAAGGAAGATTACAAGTGCCTTTCTGGAGTGGCCCTGCACAAAATGTGAGAGAAACAAAGCAGTCATCTTGGAGCTCAGTTTGACTTGTGAAGTTTTTCACTTAGCAAAGCCACAGATAATAATTTGCCACAGATAATAAGGAGCCCGAGAGTCTTATAAAAAGATGCTGTCTGGATCATGTGAAATACAACCTCATGGTGCTCAGCCAGCAACAGAGAGAACCCTCTAGTGAACAGTTTCAATCAATTCAGCAAAAAGACTGGCAAGAAAATATCTTGAACAAGATAGAAGGGCAACCTGGCTTCTCAGAAGAAAGCGATGTCTAGCCGCAAGCGTATGTTGTCAAGTGCAGGAGAACAACAGATAGAGGACACCATTTGCCCACACAGCAGGCAGGTGTAACTGTGGCCAGCAAATCTGGGAGGTTATCCATGATTCAGGTAGCTTGAACCACAGACCCACTTAACAAAGGTACCGGTGTGAGAAGAGATTAAGGGATCCCTTCACTGAGCAAAGAGGCAACAAACCACTTTGGGTCCAAGCATCCCTTCCTAAAAGTGTGCTTGCTACAGATGACAACAACCTGTCATGTCATTGTACTTTCCCACAAGCTGAACTGTCACCAGTAAAACATATTTACATCTCAGTTCCGCACATGTATCATAAAACCCAACAAAATCTGAGAAAAGGTGTCCCCTTGCTTTTCATACAGAAAATAGGCAACATCATGTGTTGCCCCCCCTCACAATAACCATCATGACCCAAAGACACAAAGAGCTTTTTTCTAGCTCTTAGGAACATGAGTGCATCACTGTCAACTTGCAGACACATGAAACTGCCCTCAAGGTAACACTATAGGGCAGTTGCATAGGGAAGAAATACCTCCAGTTAGAAGACTGCACCTATTGGTCCAGTCCATTATAGCAGGGGTCATCAACCCCCAGTCCCCGGCCTGGTGCTGGTCCATGGGCTTGCCGGAACTGGCCTGCGGATACGAATCTCCACACACACCCACGCACATGCGGTGGGTGTGTCATGCTCGTGCAGGGAGCATGTCACGCCTGCAGGAGGCGTGTTGCACTTCCACACATGTAAGTGAGCGCAACACGCCCCCCAGGTGCAACACAACCACCACGCGAGCATGAGCACGCCCCACACACATGAAACTCGGTCCCCCAACCGGTCCGTGGCCCCAAAAAGCTTGGGGACTGCTGCACTATAGGAAGAAATGAATTTGTTCTAATAATTTAAAATGGATGTGCCTGGAACTACTCTTTGAGGGCAAGCACTGATGAACCACATATAGGCCAATGTTATCACCAATCCAATGGATGTCACTAACACTAAAAGCCTCTGAATCTGATTGGCTCTGACAATGCAAGCTTGAGAAACACTGTCTGAAATTCTGTTGCTCCATGCAGTAAGTCACAACCAGAATAAGCCCACTGAATCACTGGTGCTTATGGATGAGTTGACTCACCCAACCTCTACTGATTCAATCAGCCTTGTCTAGTTGCAACTTGTCATATTAAGCAATAGGATTTTAACCATTATCTGCAGCTGCTTTGCATGACATATTCTTATATGTCTGTAATAATTGTGAAATCAAGCACTGGGTATGTGAAGAAGAAATCACATGTTTCCCTACTATATGGCCTCTGGCACATTTTTTCCTCCCAATTTGAAAAAAAGCAGACACCATGAATTGTCAGCAGTATAGGGACACAGGAAAGCCCCAGCCAAGCTTCTTCCATGATTGGCACTGCACAAAGTATGATGGCTCTGTGCACCACGCTGCAAGCAGTAGTTCGGGGGGGGGGAAGTGTTCAATCAGACTGGCCACCTATGGTGGTGAACTTCATATTCGTCTCTCCCAGGAGACGAATATGAAGCTCCCATTTCTAAAAAGTACACTCTCTCGGACAATGCCATCAGTGTTGACAATAGCACTTGGGAAACCACGATCAGTAACACCGCTAGAGCAAACATGTTAGGCAATGCAGGGCCAGTATCCCTAGTAGTTCTCAGAGCCACCAGGTCTGGCATTAATTGGTCTGGGGAGAAGGGATACAGTACAGCCCTACTGAGACAGACAACATTAAAAGTTTGGCAATGACTGGGGTGGTTCTACAGAAAAAAACAAGCCAATTAAAAGCAACTCAATATTTTTTCCTTCTTCTATTATGCACAGAAGGCACTGTGAATGTTCATTGGTGAGAGGGGAATTTACTTCCTGGCAACTGTATTTACAAGATGTCTTTGTGAATATAAGCCCCAGGATGCTGAGGGGAAGTGTGGAAGTACTTTGTGCATGGGAAAAAATAAAACACCAAATGAAAGAGAAAAAAAGAAAAAAATGGCCAAGAAACCATAAAAGGCACGGAAAACTCCAGCCCTGTTTCTAACTATTAGAATAGTAGCAAAGGCAAACACTCCCAAATGCTGCTGGAATGGTCAAAATGGAACTAAGCAGGAACAGTTGTGCCTCTTCTCTGTGTGTGCTATGTGGATGTGTGGGTGGACGTTCTGTCAAAACTGGTCAGCTGAAGAAGGTTCTGAGTACACAGCCTGTATGCATGATGCACAGAGACCATGAAGAACTACATTTGGCTCAGATCTTAGTTGTCTGAAACCATCCATATCCTTAGGACCTTTGACATGCAGCTCATTAACATGATTTGTTCTCCATTGCACTCATATGTTGTTTGGCAAACATTAAGACATTTAATGGGTGTTTACATATTACTTAATATTTAAACAAGTCCAGAGGAAATGGCCCCAAATGAACTGAGTGCTTTAACGTCCAACAGTTATTCTGATGCATGTCATATACAGTGAATTGACATTTCCCATGTTTAAGATCTAAGTATGAAAAAGCAGATTCTCGCAACAAGATTCCTGACATTTCTTGCTGAGTCTTTTACAGTCCCTTCTGACGACCACAGCAGTTTGCCTTATCACCTCTTCTTATCTTCTCAAGCTGGCTATGAGGCCGGAAGTTAATTAGATCTCCCACTATAGAATAATAAAAGGCAAGGTCGAACTGCTTTTAATAAATGCAGATGCTACTCTGATTTCGAAGTCAGCAGCCAAGCCCAGCCAGTTTAGTCAACCATGAAAGAACACACTCACATTTCTGTGGTGCCCAGCTCTAGGGTACTGGGATTACTCAGCAAAGCTTTTTCTACCACCACCTCATGGGGGGGCCAGAGGGGCTCTCTTAGGTATCTTCGCTCCAGGTTCTGCTCCAAGTCTGCCAGGCGGAGGACTGCTAGGTCCAAAGGGTTAGTCGTCTCACGGTGCAGTGCTGAGCCTTCCCGTCGGTTTTTTATGGTAATATCTTCCAAAAGTTCCAGGTCACGCTCACAATACTGCAAGTCATTTCGAACAGAATCAGGATCTGGACTTGTCCAGCCCTGAAGAGGAAGGAAAAAATAGTAATAAACAGAGTTGAGAGAAGAAGGAATAAGAAAAAAGAATTACAACACCCTTTTGGGAAAACCCAGGAGCACCTGCAATTATTCTCTCCAGAAGCCAACCAAAACCAGCTTTTGTGCACAACGTTTTGAAGCCTTTGCTACTGCCTCTGACAAACAATTTACAACAAACAATTTTAAGACCTCTGTGAGATGGATACCAAGAGCAGGATCCAGAAGGAATCATACATGCCAGAATAAAGAACAGTCCCAGACCGCAGCAAGTCTGCCAGTATGAAGAAGCCTGACCTGTTAACTACACTGACATTCATGCACAAAAATTCTAAAATTTCATGGAAAGGTTCCAACTTCCAAGATTTTTATACTATAAAACCAACTAACCTGCTGCAGGGCAGAGTAGTGGTAAGGGTGCTAGACAGATGCAATGGGCTTAAATAAAAAATGAGATCACTTATGTTTTCTCTCGGTGCTGTCCAGTTCTTGCTGGATGGCTTGAGATATTTCTTTTGGCACAATAATCCTCAATTTCCTAATCACAGAAGCAAGCTAAGACTCTCATTTAGTTTTTCAGCAAATATACAGATTGTCTGAAACTTTCAGGATGCCCTCAACCCATCAATAAAGGACAAGCCCCATTCAGGCATCCTTAAAGCATGTGGAGCCCAGACATGAACCCTGCCCATCTTTTGTCATTACTTTAATCCTAGACATACAATAGCTCGAAGAAAGGAAGGATGCTCTATTGGGCCAGTGTCCCTATATGAGAGAACCTTATTTTTTTCACGTCTGCGATCACATGAAGAAGCTGCTTGCATACAGTAACCTGCCCCTTTCAAAGTGTTGCATTTCTAAGATTAAAGCAATGATGGAGGCCACAGGGCTGGTCTATTCACCTTATCATACGTGAATTCCACACACTTCAAGCATGCTATACAGTTGCAAGGAGTGGGGGAAATAAATCTCCACTTAGTCTTGGTACCTACACGGATCTGTAAGTCAGCCATGAGCACCCGCTGCTCTAGCTCTTCCACCCACTGAAGCACAGACAAATCTGTCTCAAAAGCCCGTTCAGCCATCGACCATTGGGCCAAGGCTTCCTCAGAGACAGGGTGGCTGGCACTTTCAGGATGAGTCTGGAAAATGGGGTCTAAAACAAAAGGCAAAAAAGAATCCATTAGAAAGACTAGGCATCTGGAAACAAAGGCCGCAAGACTTACCACAACCTTCTTGGACCACAAAATGAGAAGCTCTTACCATTGGCAGCTCGTGCACACATCTCCCGTAGATAATCCTTGTGCTTGGTAAGGTGCTTATGGAGGGCTTTTTCACGGATTCCTCGTGGGTGCAGTACCTGCACCACAGTTTCCAGCTCTTCTGGATCCTGTAACCACCACCAGCCACTCTGCATCTCTGTAAGAGAATTTGGGGGGGGGGGAGCTAGCTCAGAGGCTGGTGCTAATAATTTATTTATTTTATTTATTTTGTTTGTTCAATTTATATCCCACCCATCTGGTATATTCTACCACACGAGTCAGTCACACATGGAGTTTGTAACAGGTTGTCATAAACAAGAGAGGAGAAGTCACGCAAAATATGATATGTAGTGTGGAATTCTATGTAACTCATTTAAGAACATCAGGTTTCTTATTTTTATGTTGGCAGAGAAAAATATGAACATTATATAGCAGTTTCCACAAAGCCTTACAAACTGAAGAAACTGTTCACCTGTGAGGTGAAACTTCCAGGGACTAAGAGATGGAATTACTATGGAAGACAGATCTCAGAGCCTGTACTCCTACAACTGGCAACCATTTTGTTCCTCCCAACATTCTTCAAACTATCTGCCAGTTTCTCCACAGCCATATTGTGCAACAGAAAATGAAAATCCAGCTTCCCACTACCTGGAGGGATAGGTTGTGCTGTCTGCTGTGTCAAATATTTCTGCTCAATCTGCTTGAAAAGTTTTGTGGGGGGACGCCCACGTCGTCTTGGCAGCCCAGGAGGTTCCTGAGATTTGCTGGGGATGTCTTTCATTCGGGAGCAGGTATTGTGGATCCTGGAGCTGAAATGTAGAGGAGTGGAGGCCAATGGTGGCAAAGCTGGGCTGGGGGTGGAGAGACCATTCAGCTGTGGGAAGGGAAAATCATAACGCGTCAGACCAGGCAGGAGTTGTCACAAAGCTCTTGCTAACACATCTCCTAGACTTGTCACCTGTTGAAGGAGTGGCTCATCCCCACCTTTCACAATACCCATGCTTATAGTGTGCTACAAGGCCTGAAAGCAGCTTAGGTGATATCACAACTGAAGTCTTAATTACTTGCCATATTGCTTGAGACTGATCTTGAAGAAGAGTGTTAAGGAGGAATGCATATTTGTCAGGTAACAAAAGGTGAACATGACAGAGAAAACTTAAATCTAAAACAGATGTTACACATCTGGGAACTCCATGCAGACTCACAGAAGTGAACATAGTGAGTGTTCCACTGACTTGCACAAGGAAGGAAAGGAATTCCATTGCCACAATTTGCGAATTGAGAGGTGGATGGTTCCTCCAGAGCCCTGGGCAATAGGGTCCTTGGGGCAAATGGCCAAAGAAACCAGTCTCCAAACCCAGACAGCACACTCCTTTGAACAGAGTAGAGCCCTATATCCTGTTTCTTTGCCCCTGCTTCCCCACTGATCCAACAGAAGTGAAAACTTGAGCTTGCATTTACTAAACCTCTGCATGGTACTTACCTGCTGAGAAGAAACCTTTGACTGGTCCTTAGTAGGTCTCCTGCAGTGTTGGGAAGCAGGTTTTACAGAGGGCTGTTCAGTGGAGGTAGCAAATAAAGAATCATTATAAGGTGCCCTGGGCATCAGGTTGAACCAGGCCACCTGGGTTTCTGTGACACTTTCATCCTCTGCACCAGAGTCTGGCAACTCATCTGGCGGTACTGAGTCGTCTTTGCCAGGGCTGCTATCTGGAGTGAGTACAGAGCTGTTAAGCAGTGAGGATGCCTGCTGTGTCTGGCTAAGCCAGGACAAGAACGCTGATTGGGTGAGGTCATGCTGGGACTGGCCCAAGGATACCGAATCCTCTAAAAACCCATTGGCAGACATGGACATGGGCTCTGGTGATTTGGAATCAAATGACTCTGAGGGCAACAGGCCTGCACTGTCCTGCCATGGCTGGCCCCATGATCGCACTGGTGTGCAGTTCATATAATCAACAACTGAAGGTGTGTCCGTGGTCTCCTTTTTGACTGGTGACACTTCATGCTTTTCCTCCTTGCGGGCCTCTTCCTTTTCCAATTCATTCTTGGACACCTCAGAGGGAGCTGCTTGGAGTGCAACAAAAATGAGAGCTATGTAAATTTTACCAGCAGATGGTGCTGAAATGCAATTTGAGATATGATCCACAAGTGCAGATTCCATTGGACCTGGAGTTGGCTTACATATTACACAGCCCTACGCTAACTTCTAGACTGGAAAAGAACTCCACTCCACACAATATATCCACGTTTACAAGATAAAAACTGATTTTGACAGCTTCTGTGAAGAAAAGAAAGGCTGCTACCTTGCCCAATGACAAACCACCCTGAAGATATTTTGCTGCAGAAAAGGAATCCACTGATCTAACATTACATGCAGGTCAAATATAAAGCATAATTTGTTCTCTCAATTCTCTCAAATACAGCCATGCTATTTCTGTTCTTACTTGCCCTATCCTATCACACCAACCAAAACAACATATCCATTTAGAAGCCACAATGGGCTCCTCAAGTCAAAAGGCCATTCCCCCTGTTTGACTTTATCCTTCTGTTTCCAAAACTACACTCGGTTAAACTTCTCATTAGTCCTTGCCCTCGATATGTACTGTTGGTGCAGCTATCCTGCTCTTTGTCACCTAAACTTCTACAGGTCTCTGCAATCTTTTATAATAATCATTGTAAAAACCACCCAGGTTCCTTCGTTCTGGGATCTGCATACCTGTTGAGGCCTCACAGCCTTCTACAAAGATCCCACCAAGATGGGGCAGAACCCAATACCTTCGCCGATATCGATCCTGCCCCAGTGAAGAAGCACGTAACAATTGTGAGGCATGGAGCAGCTTCTTGCGAAAAAACATCTGGCGCTGCAAGAAGAATGAGAATGGTTAAAAAGTGCTGAAATCTCAGAAAAGGAGTTCCAAGAAGTTAATATTCAAATGGTCAAAGCAAAACATGATATGGTTGTTGTAGTTTTTTTGAACTGTTTGGCCGTGTTCTGGAGGTTTTTCTTCCTAATGTTTCGCCAGTCTCTGCGGCCGGCATGTTCAAAGGACAGGAGTTAGAACACAGACAGAGTTCTAACTCCTGTTCTCTGAAGATGCCAGTCACAGAGACTGGCGAAACATTGGGAAGAAAAACCTCCAAAATATGGCCAAACAGCCCGAAAAACCTACAACAACCATCGGATCCCAGCCATGAAAGCCTTCGAGAATACATAAAACATGATATATCCTATTTAAAAAAAACTAACATCTCCTGGTAAGGCTAAGAAAAACTACAACTTCTATTTGTAATTTACTCAACTTTTCAACAGAAAGTATTTACCTTGGAAAGCTTTTCAATCTGCCTCTCGAGTACAGGCACACTAGAAACAGGGATGTCATTCTGTTGAAGGAGAGAAATATGTTATAACCAAATCCTAAATCTACACCTTCAGATCTACAGTATATTAATCGGCTTGGGAAACACTAAAGTGTTCAAACAGGAATGATCTGAAAATGAAGCAGATTAAGAGAAGAGACTTATGTTTGCAGATAGGTGTGTGGATGTTGCAAACAAAGAAACAAGAGGCCTCACTCTTGCTGCATGAGATGAAGAACTAAGCATCATTTCTGAAGGTCTAAAACATTTTAAAAGGAACACTATATGCTGATGAAATTATAATAATTTTTTAGGAAGGCTTGTATTACTTCAAAGGTATGCACCAGCTGGTCTAACAGAATTTACTGTTCCAATTATTCTGTCTTTTTTGTCTTCTAGGCCCAACACGACTTCCCTCAAGCTTGCCATTGATTACTAGAACAGAGATTAAGAGTCACTGCATATGCCTTCCTCAGTTAACGCAATCACACCTCCACCTACTTCATAGTCTTTCTGGGCCTTGCATGCTCTGCTTCTCTCTTCCTCCTCCACATCTATGTCCTCACGCTCATCAGTGTTACGTGAGCTCCGCCGCCACCGCCCTTCCTCCAAGCCAGTAATTTCTGATTCAGGACGGCCAGTCTTCTTGGCTATGGCAATCTTTAACCTGCCGTGCAAAAACAAGACACAGGCTAGTGAGATAAGAAAGAACTACATCCATAGAACAGGCAAAGTGTGGCTTGTGACCAAAAAACAAAACAAAACAGGTGTGTGACAATATGGCTTTTCCCTTTTCTAGGAGTGGCAGTTTTTGCTTTTAGCAGGTATTGGGTGGGGGGTCCCCCTAAGCCAGCCTAACATCTCAACTCCCCAAATTCAAAATCAGAAGTTGTAATCAGGGTACTTCTAGTTTTGTTTTGTCTACTTTTATTCATTTCCTGCTTTCTCCAGGATTTGTGCATGCCCATCAGGCATGTGGGATAGTGTTTTAGACCCCAAGGCCACTTAAGTCACCCATCTCTGTCTTACAGCAATGGATTCTAGAACCATTAGTTAGAGAAAGGAATTCTTATCAGGATGAACCTGCACAACTTGGTAATACAGCCATCACTGTTCCCAAATAATTTTCTTAGGTGAAAATATATTATTTCCCCCTAAATCATAAATCAATCAATAAATCAATTGATCAACAGTTATGGTGCTGTAGTTATAATAATATTTCATACCACTGTGTGAGACACATCACTTAAATAAATGCATGAGCTGGATGTTCCAAGTCTTTTTCAACTAAGAGTTACCCAACATCCACTGACAGCAAACCTCTGTATCTTCAAACTGAACTGAGCCAACATTAATTTTACTGCTACATACCTGCGCAACTTTCCTTCTATTATCCATTTATTTCTCCTGTGGTTGGACATATTTTCTAGAGTCTTGTCAATTTCACTGCAGAAATAAATAAGGGGAGTTAAAAAACTGTTTTGCTTATTTGAAAGGTACTCTTTCACCCTGACTCCCAGATAACTTACAATAGAACCTGGAAGCAGCACAGCAAGCTAGCCACCATCTTTTTGACAGACCCATATGTAAAGAAGCACATTGAGTGTGCAGGCTGTCACAAAGGTCATGTGACCATTTCTTCTTCCCAGGGGGCTTCCCTAAGCAAAATGATCCACCTACCATCTGGCACCTTTTCTATACACATTCCAAATGCTGCTTGGGCAGACATATCAACAAAGTTATTAAGGTTAAAATGTTGGTACAAACTACTTCTGTTAAGTTGCAGACAGGAACAATTTTATGGTGGGCATGTGTTCTCTAAGACATAGCACAATTCCCCTATATCCTCTAGCCAGACTACTGCCATCTCATTATATACTGTATACCGGAAGCTATTTTTATTTATTTTATTTATTTTATTAAATTTATACCCTGCCCATCTAGACACATGACTACTCTGGGTGGCTAACAATAAACATGGAATAAAAACAGTATAATAAAATTTAAAACAATACAGGTAGTAATATATTCAAGATGGGGAAAAATAAAAATAATCAAGCGATGACAGGAAGGAAAGCCTGCCTAAAGAGCCAGGTCTTAAGTTGACTCTTAAAAACACCCAGCAAGGGAGCCAGACAGATCTCTGAGGGCAGATTGTTCCAAAAGCAAGGGGCTACTGCTGAGAAAGCCTGGTTTCTTGTTCTTTCTCTCCAGGCCTCCCTCGGCGTTGGGCCCCTCAGCTGCCCTTCCTGGCTAGAACAAGTGGTTTGGGTAGATCGAAGTGGGAGGAGGCGTTTCGCTAGATAAGGCTGTTTAGTGGCCACAGTTGACCATAAATAAGCCATACTGATCTTTAATGGCAACATGTATGTTTTACTCGTACATACCATCACAAGTACAGTGGTGCCCCGCATAGCGACGATAATCCGTTCCGGAAAAATCGGCGCTATACGGATTTGTCGCTATGCGGAACAAAAAAGCCCATAGGAATGCCTTAAAACATGCCTATGGGCAAATAACTCACCGTTATGCGAAAATCCTCCATACGGCTGCCATTTTCGCTGCCCGGTAAGCGAGGAAAGGGCGCAAAAACACTGCAGGCGGCCATTTTTTTACCCAGCAGCCATTTTGGAACCGCCGATCAGCTGTTAGAAAAAACATTGCTATGCGAAAATCGGTAAGCGAAACAGCTTACCGATCGTTGCAAAGCGATGTTTTACCATTTGAAACATCGCAATGCGATCGCTTTTGTGATCGCAAAAAAGCCATCGCTATGTGGATTCTTCATTAAACAGGGCACCTGTTATGCGGGGCACCACTGTAATACATTTCAAGAAACTGCTTGACTTGTGACCACTTACTTGATGATAAGGGCACTGCTATTGAGTTCATTGACTAGGAAGGCCAGAAGAGCAGCTTTCTTGTCTGGAGGCAGTGCTTGGAAGGGTTTAGTGCGCAATTGGTTACAAAGGTCCTCATCTGCTCCATAGGCTATGAGGAAGCAGCGAAGGATCTCAGATACAGTATCGCGGTTCAGGCTTATCTCAGACAGTTTTTCACCAAGGATTTTCAATGACTGACAGAAAAAAAAGGAAGAGAATAAATTATATAGGAAATGTGCACACATACAACAGCTGAGAACTGTACTTTTCACTTAAAACAATGAGAACATTGAAATTAGGTGCAAGGACTGATGAAAAAGGCATAAAAGTATGTGGCTAGTCTTAGATAAAACCCAAATCAGTGACAGGTCTGAGAATAACTTCCAAATACTCATGAGAAGGCTTCAGTGTTCTGCACAGTTTCTTGGTATGGTGTGATCTTATTATTACCATAGACATTATAGTGAATGAAATAAGACAGATAGAAAAAGATAGAAAAAAATTTGCAAATTTTATATTTTGCATAAGTAATCTTTCTTTGCCACATTGAGCTGCCCTTTCCATCCCTTTTAAGCACAACTTCAGGAAGCCTAAGTAGAACTCATATCAGCTGGACAGTGGAGATGCAAAGGAATCAACGGAAAGGAATTCTGTACCATGGCCTCTGACATCTTTTCAGATTCCTTCTCACAAAAGTGTTTTCCTTAAATTTCCATTTTTTAAAAAAAAATAGATAACTGCATCTCCCAATTCTAGAAACATATACCTTTTAAAAATGACAGGTGATCGTTTCAGGAATGTTGATGGATGTGCTAAAAACTACATTTTGCAGCTTAGGATTTAAGCTACAAAGCACACTAGAATCCCTAAAACAATGTGATCTTCATATTTTCCATGCAATACTGCAATTAACAGTATTTAGCCTCTGATATGCAAGCAATAATCCCAGTATGACATATTTATGAACCTGATACAAAGTCAAGATGCATTTGTTTCTACAACTGTTGAGTTACCTGTTTTGCACTAACACTGCTTCATGCACTGAAATGTTTTTGTTCCCTACAGTTCTGTCTGCTGGAGAAGGAACCTTGAAGATTTTGACTTCTGCTAACAAGTGAGCACAATATGCTTACTTGCCATGTTGGACACAGACTACTTGGATATGTGCTCTTCTGTCAAGTCATATTATTTGGTAAATAATTTCTCCAGCTGTGTTATTCATACAAATCACTGCCACAAAATCAATCCATGCAACATTATCTCTAAGGCACTAGAAGATGTATCTTTCTTGTACTTCGAACTCCAAGCACAAGATACCCTATTTTTTGCTCCATGAGAAACACTTTTTCCCCAAAACAAAGTGGTGCTGGTGGGGAACTGTGTGCATCTTATGGAGCGAATGCTGTCCCCCCTGCCACCACCGCTGCCTTCCCAGGGACAGGCGGTGGTGGTGGTGGGGACCCCCACAGTGCCTTCTGAGGCCTCCGGAGGCCTGGGAAGGCAGCGATGGTGGCGGGGGGAACAGTATTCACTCCATAAGAGCCACACACATTTATTAATTAATTAATTTGTTTGTTTATTGGTATTTTAAAATTAGGTGCGTCTTATGGAGCAAAAAATATGTTAGATACAGAAGGCAGGGCAGTTGCTCCTAATTTGATCAAATGTTTTAAATACAGTGTATTCTACAAAAGAAATTCTACCTTTAATCAAAACTGATATTCCCTTTAATTTTCAGCCCTGCTAGACGAGGCTCTGGCCCATGTGATTCTACCATCCTCCGTGGGATTCCATCCCAACCCAAGGAGTTGAAAATGACTGCTGTGGGTGCACAGAGGAGGAGCCCTGTGCAGAGTGGGGCAGAGTTGCAGGCGCATTCCTTAGAGGGAACCTTGATTAAAACTCAACTTGGATGTTCCTGTCTATGAAAACCACCTTTAATCTCTTCTTCTTCATCATGCCAACAGAGTTCTTGACTTATTATTTAAAGATGAGCACAGCTCAGGCACAACCTTGAGTTTAGTTCTGTAGATGCGGCAATCTAGTTTCCATGTGTAACAACTTAATAATGTTTATTGGCCCAAGAATTTCACTTTATTTGCTGGCAAATGGTCACCAGCAATTCCAATCCACACCCTACCCAGAGTAAACACAGAAAAAAAAAAAGTCACGCCTGTGTGCATGTCACAATTCCACAGGGGGGGGGGAACATACTTTATGTGGTATTGGACCAAACTTCCTGAGACTTGCAGCTTTCAGTTAAAAACACTACTGTTCTAACTTTTGTGGCTTTTCATATGCAGAGCAAGACAAAGACAACCCTTACTAACATTTCAGAAGATAGAGGGTTGACAAAAAAAGATTTTCAGCATTTGGGTCAATTTTGTTGCTCTGTATAGTTCATTGCCCCTCCTCACACCTGAACCAGGATGACACACAGTAACACAAATTGTGCCATTCCGTCCAATCTATCTTGGTACAGAATGTGTATCCAGGGAGTTTTAAAAAACAACACATTGTAAACACAGTTATTAATGATAGCATCTTCTGCACCAAACAGCACACACTCACTTTACAGTCTCTATGACTACAGTACTCATATTCAGACTTGAATTCTGATGCAACAGACTACTGTACATTAATCCATTGCCTTACCTGACAGTAAGAAGGGAGGCCAGGGTCGTAGAGTGCAGCCTTCACCAGCTTTACCAGGAGGTCCAACACTTCACCCAAACTATCTCCAACATTGAAGAGGCCTTCTTGCAAGGTACTCAAGCTGGGAACCTCTCTCGCTACATCAAAGCCTAGCACCTTGCCATAGTTGTGTAGGAATTCCACAATGGCTAAGCAATCTGCAAAGGCATGGCTGGGCAAAACCAAACCAGGGATCCGAGAAAATTCTGGAAGAGGCTGAGGAAGAGGCAAAATATCAGTACATACGATATGGACCAGTCTCTGGCAAAACAGCATGCCCAATTGTTTTGTTTATTCAAGTTCCATCCTGACTCACACAGGCGTAGCAAATATCACATGAAAGATGAGGTGAAAATAGGTGAAGGCAGGATGATAGGGCCCTGGATATAGCTAATAATAATCTGAGCTGCCATCTAAAAAACAAATGCTCCACTTTAAAACATGCAAATTCTACTTAAAGAGATACATAGGAAAAGTCAAAATATTCCTAGGAAAGTATTTTAGTCTCACTAACAAAAATAAAGTAGATGACTCAATTTTAATGTTTTAGAGAAGAACTAAATGGGTAAACAAAGCAAATAGATCAAAATCCTGTTACGTGTTGTAGTAAATCACACAAGAGTAGGCCCATTGAATTAATGGGGATTTGGTGAATCAACTCCTCCATAGTTCCATTTACACTATGGGACCCTAGTCCAGTGGCAACTTAATTTAGCAGTTAAGGTGCAGTTAGAGTAGGCCCATTTGAATCAATGGAACATATGGAAGAGTTGACTCGTATCCCTTTCTGATTCAGTAGGCCTACTCTAATGTGATTTACTGTGATAAGCAACAGGATTTTGACAACACAACTTTATATTAGATCAGTGGTTCCCAATCTTGGGTAACCCAGGTATTCTTGGAATGCAATTCCACAAAGCCTTCATCTCTAGCTGAGCTGGCTAGGGTTTCTGGGAGTTGCAGTCCAAGATCACCTCAGTTACCCAAAGTAACTGGTAACTACTGGACTAGATGCTAGCAGGTTTATAATTTTCCCAAACAACAGAAAAATATAAAGCACCAGGTGTTTTTAGCAGATATATCTGAGACAGAACCATTTCTAAGAGAAAGTGATTATTTTAGGTTGGCAGATAAGAACAGTATTTCACAGACGTTTGATTTCTAACCCAAGTACAGTATTTTGAGCACAAAACTGGCACTGTGAGAACCCCTGGTATCAGCTTTTGAAATGCCAAAGTATGTCTATCCAGATGCCCTGCCCTACATTCTAATATAAAAGAGGCCTAGAACACGGCTACATAAAAATATGAGCCTGACTCCAACAGGAGTTACTCAGTGGAAAAAATGGTAACTTCTGTCAAAAACAAGTAGCACTACACATCTAGTATAACACAACTCACTCAACTCAATGCCTTCCAGCTGTTTTAGTCTACAAATTGCATCATCCTTGACTACTGGTCATACTGATTTGCACTGATGAAATTTATAGTCTAGAACAGTCCCATGGTGAAGTATTAACCTAAAAATTATCTGAAATGTAGAAGCATATTTGTATGTCTGGAAGCTGAGTCATGGCAGCTGGACTTCTTTCTTATTACAGTGGGGTCTTGACTTGAGAACTTAATCCGTATTGGAAGGCGGTTCTCAAGTCAAAAAGTTCTCAGGTCAAATCTGCATTTCTCATAGGAATGCATTGAGAACCATTTGATCCGTATCTGCTCTTTTCCGTCCATAGAAACTAATGGGAAGCTGCTATTCCGCCTTCGACCACCAGAGGGGGATATTTTGTTTCTTTTTTTCTTAGGTCAAGAAAGGTTCAGGGAAGGCAGGGAAAATACAGTCCAGGCAGTACCAGGCAGTCCAAAGACTGTCACCCAATCCACTCTCTAAACGCAGGGAGGAGTGAGGAAGCAGACAGGCACCCTTTTCACTGGCCAACAGTTAACTGAAAGTTCAAATTTTGCACTTTCCCTGCCTCCCACGTGTTTTTTTTCTTCAGTTCTTAACTCAAATTTAAGTACTTAAGTCAAGTTAATATTTTCCTGTGAGAGTGGTTCTTAAGTCAAAATGTTCTTAACTCAAGCCGTTCTTAAGTCAAGACCCCACTGTAGATTGAAATGTTTCACTACTCATCCAAATAGCTTCTTCAGTCTGAAGACAGTTGGTAGGAGATCCCTGATATATCCTCCACATTGGTTTCACTTCCCCCTGGGCTGAATAGCTTCCTTAGATGGACAAAGGACTGGAGGTGAATGAAAATCCCACTTCTGCAGTCCTTCTCCACCCGTCATGGGTTGTCAACAATGGTCTTTCTGGTGTGTGTGGTCCTGATCTTTCTGGGGACGGATGAAAGGGCAGCATGATAAATAGGAGATAGATTGTATCTAATGCCTCAAACCCCTGTTGAGTGAGGGTTTTTCTGTATGCATGTGTATGGCCTCCCTTACTCCAATCTCAAACCACCTATCTTCTTGGTCCAAAGTAAGTACATCTTGGTCATCAAATGAGTGCACTTTGTCCTTCAAATGAAGGAATACTGCTGATTGTGGTCCTGAGCTGTTGCCCTTCCTGTGCTGGCCATTCTCCCGTTTAGTGGCTGTTTGGATTCTTAAGTGTAGAGCTCCAAAAACTCCTCTTTACATTGGACCACATATACTATATTACTCCTGTTGTGTTTTGGTGTCCAATCTTTTGGGTGGGTGAGTCTCTGCCTTAGTGTGTTTATAGGTTTGAAGTGAATGGGTATGTGGTGTTTACCAAAGCACATATATCAGAGATCTCCTACCAACTCTCCTCAGACTGAAGAAGCTACTTGGATGAGTAGGAAAACATTTCAACCTAATAAGAAGGAAGTCCAGTTGCCATGACTCAGCTTCCAGATAACCTCACCTGGATGACTGAGCATTTTCAAAGACATATTTGTATATGTCTTGTAGTCATAACTGCAGTACAGGTATATCATTTGAATGCTTTTGTTTTGGATTTCACACTAAACACCTTAATTAACAAACTCCTAAAAATCTAGCCTAGAAATGCCCCTGGTAGAAATGCAAGCTGGGATCACACACTTTAAATAGTATTAGGGAACACTATGTTGTTTGGATTTCCTCTCCTTAACTTCACTTGGCTACCTTATTGTTAAAGACCACAGTTGCTTTACAACAGGAGGCTCTCCCCACATACATCACTGTGGCCAAGCAGTTCAGCACACCTGATGGTCCCCTAGACACATGTCCTCAGCAGGCTTTTTCATCTCCTCTAAGATCATTTGCTGCCTCAGCCGTTCTTCCTGACGCTTCTGGGCAAGGAGATTCTTATCAATTTTCCGTGGGATCTTTGTGGACAATGCCACCTTCTTTTCCTTGGGCTTCATCTTTTCTTTTGGCTTCACCTTCTCCTTCAGTTTCTCTGGCTTATTCTTTTCTGGCTTGCTCTTTTCTTTCTTTACCTGGAACTGGAGGAAAGACAGATATGTCACACTTTCATTGTGATTACTCTGGATTTAGCTACTGCCCAGTTCCTTCAGTGACCTCATCATCATCATAACTTACTTTAGGTTTCCGCTTTACTTCCTTAGGTTTGACGTCCTTGGGCTTTGATGCCTTGGTTTCTTGCTTCTGCTTACTTTGAACCTAGAAAAACAATATTATTGAGAACTCAAAAGAGAATTTTGAAAACAGAAGAGGCCTAAGAAGTAAAGCTATTGCTCCATTTTGCCCCAAATAGTCCTGAAAACCTTTACTAGAGACATATATTAATTGAACATAGTGCCTCACATTTCAGTTGGAAAGATGCAGTCTCTTCATCCTGCACACTCTGGCTAATGAGGGCAAACCATTTCACACTGCTTAGATTAACCATATAGTAAATTGTGGGAGTTGGTATCCTCAAATATCAGCTCTGATTAAAAGTTTATGTTCATTATGACCTGAAATAAATATCTAGAAAAAGGGCTGGGGCTTTTGGCTATCCAGTTGCCTTGGACCAATCCTGTTGCCCTGCTGGTTGTGGAGTTGAAATCTAAAACATCTGGAGGGTTGGAAGTTCCCCACCCTATTCTTGTAATGTCTGGTAAGTCTAAACAAATTGGGAAATCTATTTTTGCTCCTCTATCCCTCATGTTTCCCTACCTGAGTTCCACTCTGTCATTCAATCCTTCCCACCTTCAAGAGATACACAGCTAAAACTTCAATTTTTAAAAAATGTCAACGTACTTATGCCAGCTTCCTTAGTAATATCTCAGGTGTGCGGTTCCTTTCTACACCCTTTGGAATATGTGCCTTGTCTTGAAGTATACATAACCTTGCCAGAAACCCATAAAGGAAGCTCCCATCTCTTGTTCCAACCTTAGTTCATTTTACCCCCAAACCGTTCATCCCATGATCTTAGAGGGAGTGACTGCCCTCTTTCTATCTAGAATGCACTGCTTCATTTTACTAGATGTACCTTTTGTCTCATTTTCTTCTTGGTCTTGCTTATCTTCACTTTATCTTCATCACTGGCCACCTCTGCAAATACATACAGGATAAAGAAAGAATGAAATAAACATTTGAAAGAATAAACCAACCCTCAGTCCCATAATTAACAATTCCACTATGTGTTACAGGAAGGTACCACTTCTCTGAAAGGGGTAGGTTTAGAATGGTATGCTCTTAAGAAAATCTCAGAACGTTAAGTGAGATAATATTTTATTTGGTATCAATTGTTATGTCTTTACTTCAAAATGTGTGGTTCAAACTACCTTAGTCCTGAAAAGAAGCATTACTAATCATGAGGTTGACTCTTAATATTTACTCCATTAAGTCTGCAAACTGTACTCAATATAAACTGAATTGCTCCTGAATATATTGTAGACGTATGCAGGAATTGCTAAAGATCTTCAAGAGTTCCAAGGCCTGGCTTTTAAAGCAACTTGTGAGTCTGGGTGCAGCCCTGCACCATACTGATTGCATGGTCGATTAATGTCACTTAACATTAATTACATAGAATCATAGCATAACTGAATTGGAAAAGGCCAGTCCAAACCCCTGCTCAATGCAGGAAAGTCATTCTCCTTGAGGACACTCTCTTTGCACTCAAGGTGAGACTGGGTGCAGAAATAAGGTGTGAGTCTGAGGCAGGACTTGAGCTACGTGCCGAGAGCAAATCAAGTTCTATATCTCTTGTGTAGTTGTATTTGTGTGGTGGCTTCCACTGTCTGAATCACATGCAAATACTAATGACAAGCAAAGAAACATAGTAAGTAAATCAGCAGTGACACCCTGTTCCTCCCCATAGGGCAAGGGCATCAACTCTTCTTCCCCATATTTATATTTCTGAATCTCTCAGCTACATTTATTTTAACAAGATTCTAGCCCTCATGGCTATGGAGACACAAAAGAAAGCTTGGAAGACAGGGTCTGCAAGCATTTTCAGTTCTCGGGGCACAACTCTTATGCTCTGTGTAGCTACCTGCCCCGCCCCTCAAAGTCTCCAGTCATGTTCTCTTACCTATATACTCTTACTGCCCCTTGCTTATCCGTTCCTCTCTTCCTGCTGCCACACCGCTCCTTGACAAGAAATTCCAAATTTTGCAAAAACTCAAACATTAGTTTCCAGAAAAAGCATGCAAAGGGAGATTTATGCAGAAGAAGCAGGTTTGCATGCATCTTGTAGATTTGCTTTATTTTTGAGAGCAAAAGTTGAATTTTCTTGGTGCACAAAATGAACACCCTTGCCTCCAGAGACTGATAAAACAACTCCTGTGACAAACCAAAGTTCTTTCTTGTGAAAGTTACTAGCATGCATAATGGGCTTGTCAAGCTGATACCTTGAGCCTCCAGTTTCTTCAGAACTCGAACATCAGTCTTGCTCTGCAGGTCCGGCACTTTGACTTTGGGAGGTCGGCCCCGGCCACGTTTCACCTTGGGCATTTCCTTAGCCTTAGCTTTCTCAGTATTTCGGGGTCGGCCCCGCTTGCCTGTGATAGCCAGGATACGTGAGGGGATTTCTTCAGATGCCAGTTTTACCCACTTAAGGCCCTAAGATATGAAGAAAGAGATACTGTTTACAGAAAACAGACTCTCTGTGTATCTATCGATTCTACTTATATGCATAAGTCCACCAGCTTCTCCTCATGAGATAATTTGTCTGTTTAATATTCTCCTATCCCTAACAGACACAGGAAAGGCAGTCAACTTGTATTCCTGTGGCCCACCAAAGGCATTTCTGAGGTCTCAAACACTCCACACGCCCCAAATTTTATTTTTATATCTAGTTTTGCTTCTGAAATTACCTTATATTTTCCATGGAGGATAGGGAGTAATTCTGTCAGATTCTGAGGTGGTGCCCCCTCCTTCTAGACCAGGAGTCCCAAACTATAGCCCGTGGGCCACATCCAGCCCACATTGCCATTTTGTCCAGCCTGTTCCCTTCAGCCCATGTGTGCAGGGATTGGCATGTATGTGGTGTGTGTGTGTGTGTGTGTGTGTGTGTGTGTGTGTGTGTGCATGGGGGTGGGCAGGGGTGTCCGTGTGTGTGTGTATGCCAGCCGGTGTCTGCATGCATGGAGGGGCAGGCTAGTGTGTGCATGCGTGCAGCTGTGCAGCTGTGTTTGCGCGTGCACACACATTCCTGTTCTTTAAGCCCTCAAAAACCTTGAAAATATCCGGTGTGGCCCTCACTGTAAAAAATTTGGAGACCCCTATTCTAAACCAATCCAAAATTTTATTTTTAAAAAGTTTAACCACTAGGGGGCACAACAATCCACTTTCAGTTTATAAAATATTTTTCTGATTAAACCATTTTTTCAGTTATCAAAAACTCACTACAGTGGTGCCTCACAAGACAAATGTAATTCGTTCCGCGAATAGCGCTGTCTTGTGAAATTTTCATCTTGCGAAAAGCGGTTTCCCATAGGAATGCACTGCAATGCATTCCTATGGGAACCTCGCAAGATGAAAATAATTCATTCATCTTGCGAGGCATCGGTCTTGGGGGAAAAAAACATTTGTCTTGCGAAGCATGGCCATAGAAGAAGCCGTCTTGCAAGGCACCACAGTGATCGGGGAAAAACATTCGTTTTGCGGGTTTTTCGTCCCACGAGGCGCTCGTCTTGCGAGGCACCACTGTATAGTGATTTTTCAAAAATAGATATTAAGAAATAAATAGCAAATTAGGTTTTTGATCATACTTCCCCCTTTTTAAAGCCCTTCCCCACTGGAAGGGCTGCTAGCAGATCTGAAAAACGGCCATGGGTGGCTTGACAAGATGCCAGAAGCCATACTGCCAGATTCCCAGAATGCTGCCACAGCCTGCTTTTGGCACCTGTGTCCCAAGAAATATAGCTTATTCTAAGATATTGTTAAGTGCTTTCTCAGGCCTAGGCAGACAGTTTTAACAGACACTTCACCATGTATGCCTGCACCCCTTGTAAAACTTCATGCACAATTTATCTTCCAAGAAGTGCCTGCTGCAGTTTGCTTATGTGATCCCTAGAGGAGGACAACTGCAGTGAAGCTGGAGGCTAGCTGCTCCTGGGTTTGCCTCAATACTTACCTCAGGAGTTTCTCGCTCTTCAAAGAAATCTCCCACTGGCATTCGGGGACTGAAGCTGAAGTGCTCACGGCGGACGTTCTGCACAATGTTTCTACTCAGGTACTAAAAGAGGAGTAAGTTACCAAAACATAAGTCAATAAAGAATCTGGGTAGGACTAGCGCTACACAGGCTAGGGAAGAAGCTCTTTCTGAAGTGAGCACAATGTATGTTTTGACCTAACAAAAGCCTTAGCTTCTTGAAAAGCACAGTGTAGCCAAGATATCCATTCACTGGGAGTGCCTAATTTTTTAACTATCCTAATTTGATGCTATCTGCTAAAAAGAGTTCAAAAATAATGAAGCTAATCTGATTTCTGGGTCCCTACTCTACATAGAGACCACATCCAGTAGCTCAATCATCACTGCTTTTGATTTGGTAAGCTCACTTTACCTTTATCACCTCTGGAAACTGCTTCATCCTCTTGCCACAGGGTCCATAGTACCAGGTCTCTCCCTGCCAACGGCTGCTACCCTTCTTGATGCGCACCTCCCTTCGCCACCTGAGCAGGAAAATGACCTATTAAAGACTAGATACACATAGTCTCATTCTGCTTGAACAAGCACCATGACAAAGCAGAAAACTTGCCAAGCAGATAATGCTGCTTACCCATGCTTTAAGGGATACCGCACCTCTTCAACTGTGGCTATCCGCCTCCTTGGAGGATCACCTGATCAGAATAAGCAGCCATTAGCAATGGAGTCAACTGCTGTTGACAATGCAGCTGAAAGGTCTGAGGGAAAGGATCCACTTACTCTTAGAAGATACACTGAGTGCTGAGACATCTTTATTCTTCCCGTCTGTTACAGATGTAGTGTTCTTTGAACAGCTGCTCTCGGCTTCCTCTTCTATGGGGGCGTCTAGACCTGCTGGTTCAAGTGGTGCTTGTGAACCCAAAAGCTCTGTGCCTTCTTGTCCCACTTCATTCACACCTGACAGCTCTAGGCTGCTGTCTACAGCAAAGAAAAGAAAGACATTAAATGAGATGATAAAAAGCAGAAAACCTTTGACTAGGAAAGTCAAAACAGAGCAGAAGAGCTGGAGGTTTAAATATAAATGGACTGGAACGACAAAATCCAGATTTTGTTGTTGTTTAAACAGGCTTGGAAAAGTATCTAAGGCCCATCTTTTCCCTGCTAGCATAAAAAAGAGATTGCCTTTTGTTTTTTACAGAGGGTTTTCCCAGTGGCTGTTCCCAAGCTTTCGAATGCTCCACCCCAAGAAGCCAGGTTGGCCTCCTCCCTCTTGTCCTTCCATCGTCAGGTAAAGACCATCCCTCTTCGGGCAGGCATTTTAAGCAGTAAGTTCTTTCAGGAATGCTTCTTTTACAACTTAGGTTTTTTTAAAGTTTCAAAATTGTTTTTAATCTTGGTTTTTAAACTTATTATATGTTTCTGTATTTTTTTAATATGATGTTTATACTGTATTCTAAAAACCGTTGTTTGTTTTATAGTTTTATCTGTTGTGAGCAGCCTTTTATCCTCTATGGGCAGAAAAGCGGCATATATATTAAATAAACAGGTAATAACTCAGATTTCGAAATACTTAACTATAGGTTCACAATACCAAAAAATGACCAGAACATTACACATAAATATACCTAGCACAACAACCTTTGATGTTTTATATGTTACCCTTAATGTATTTCTAACAGTTGAACAGAACTTTACAAGGCAAATGCTAATAAAGGTCAGCCTAAACAGTCAATCTATTTAGCCTCATCAGTTGGGGATCTTTCTCCTCTTTCTCTTCAAATAAGCAGACTCCCACATGAAATCACCATGTGAACAACATGATCCTCTATACCTACTTGGAGGTTTGGGAATATTTTCTATTGTGCATTGTGCCTGCTCTAAAATGTAATTCATGAGTCATCTCCAAAAGTAGGCTTGATGCTCTTTAAGGAGCAACTAAAGAAAATAAAGTTAAACAACTTACTACTGGGCATAATAACAGCATATGTCTAGCACGCTGAAATTAGGCTATGATTATCTTCATAAGACACAACAAATACAAACCTCATATATACCTATTCTCACCTTGTAACATACAAACTTTTATTTAAAACCCTCTTTGCACAGATATAAAATGAAAACATGCACCACTGTTCCCAATATTTGCAGAATCATTTGTTTTTTCATTGCTTAAACCAAGCCTATGAAGACTATAGATCTACAAATCACAACTTTTGACACTAGACCTGAACCTGCCCTAAAATGTATATTTCACAATCCCATATGTCCTTTCACAAACATTCAGTAAAGACTAATATAAACAAAGGTAGATAAAGGATCTGAAGGGATCTTCATTAGAACAGCTGGACAATGGCTCCTAGAGTGCAATACATCTTGAAGTGAATAGACCTTGCTCACCTTGCAAAACAGACTCCCCAAGAACAGGTGGCAAATTGGCACTTCCAAAAAGTGAGGTGTCAGGCTGACTGTCATCTGCCAACAGACTGAAGGAGTCAGAGGGATTGAGAGAAGGGCTGCCAGGACACTCCAGGGCAGAGATGTCAGGAGGGTCCTCCAGGGGTGACTTGCCGCTTACCAACTCAGAAGTATCCATCTCATAGAGATCTCCAGTCCCTGGGTCTGAAAATCATGAAATGGAGACATAGCCATCACCTGTTGTCTAAGAAAACAATCTCACTCTGTTATACTCCTAAGTACAATGACAGCACCATCTAATTTTAACATTTTGAGTTACTAGTGTATTTTATGGTAAGGTAGGGCTATGCCTATTATCATAAATGGGGGGGCCTGAAGCAGAAAGACATGTTTTACGTTCATGGCAGAGATGGGACTTGAAACAGGGACTCCCTGGCCCATGTGATCTTGCCCACATATGGAAACAAATAATGTAAGTGCAAAAAATCCAGAAAATAATTAAATTTTCAAATTTCCTGAGGTTATTCCAAGCAATGTGTGAAAACAAGACTATATTCACATAGGGATGGATTTAATAACAAAGAGAGAGAGAGAGATTTGGTTTCTTCCCAGCATTTACACAATTTGGTAATCTAAGCCTCTTCCAATTCAGCAGCATTATTTTTTTGGAAAGAAGATACATAATGGAAAAAGATATGTACTCATAGCTGTTGCATGAGGAAGAACATTCACAGAAAGGATGGAGGGATATACATCAAGACTACTACAAGTCACTTCTATCTTAATAAAGGTAATTTGCTTGAGATCAATAAAATAACAGCGAATACTGGAAAAGATGTAGTCAGAATACTAAATTAGAAAACAAAGAATACAAGACACTGAAAAGAGCGATTGGACAAAATCCTGTTACTAATGATAGTAAGTCAAGCTAAAGCAGGATGACTGACTCAATTGAAATTTGTTGAATCAAATCCTCCATAGGTTCCATTTATTCAAATGGGCCTACTCTATGCTAAAGTAAGTTGGGGAACCAAAAGACAACCTGCTTCATGATACAAACTCAGAGAACAGAGATACAACTCCAAGGACACCAGCGGGCACAAATTGATTAGTTCCCACTCAACTCCTTTGTGTTTCAAACAAAGCCTGTGGTCCCCATGACATCAGTGTTTGCTTACTGTATTGTTCACTGTTTTATTCTGCACTATTTTATCCCAATTCCCTACACTGGGTCAGACTTCTCTGGCATTAAGCAAGAAAGCAAATTTTTTAAAAAAACCTTCAGGAATCAATTCAAGAGGGAGTGCATGATTTGAGGCAGTAGTAATGTTAAGTCAGTCCCGACTACCAACTCTGAGCACCTCTTCATTGTGCAAACTCTTCTTCTATTTCTCATACCACTCTGAGGATGCCCAATCTTCTCTGATTCCAGAAGTGGGTTCAGGCTAATTAGTAGCTACAGAGGAGACTACTGGAGAGTACCAGAGATCTCCATGAAGGACTATGAAAGAATGCTGCTTGATACTCTGGAAAGTCAGTCCCAGTTGACAACATTGGGCTAGAGAAGTAAATGGTTTGACTCACTTTAAGAAAGCTTCCAAACTAGGAGGATTTCTATGACATTTCACATTTTCTCTGCAACTGACATTTGTTTATGAGTAATCTGGGCTTTCTAACCAGATTACTCATAAACATGTTCAAACCTACCCATAGGCTCAAGCATAGGCTGCAGAAAAAATATGACATGTCATAGAAATCCTCCTCCTGTGACATTAATCCTACTCACAGTTTTTGCCAACTGACCATACTGATCAAAGAGAAGAGAAAGACAATAAACATTCTTAGAACTCTAACATTTGTCTATCTAAGCATAGTAGGCAGGTTTCAATGATAGAGGCAATAGTGATATAAAGCCTGTATATTAGGAATATCAGAGGCATTATTGCTATTTGCCACTTGCATATGCAAAGAATCCTTTGTGATCAGCAGATAAGTTGCTAGTGGCTATACTGATACAGATCTTAGAAGAAATAATCAAGACACTCTCTTGCACCAGCAAAATGCACATAGCTCCTACTGAAGACATATAGTAATGGAAAAGGGAGAAGAGATAGCTTCTACGCCTTCAGTATTTGAGCAAAAGGAGGAAAATCCATGAGGCTTGCCTTTTTAAAAAAACTCCAACTCCCCATTGTTGTTGTTATGTGCTGTCAATTCACCTCCAACTTATAGCAACCCTATGAATGAGAAAATGTCCTATCTTCAAGAGTAAACTCAAAAGCCATGGTCTCATTTAGGGTCAATCCATCTCATATTTGCTTGCTGTCTTTTTTCTGCTGCCCTTAACTTGTCTCCATTTTTGCCTTCATCATGATGTGCCCAAAGTAGGATAGTCTGTTTCAACATTTTTGCCTCCAGAGATAGTTCAGGCTTGATTTGATCTAGGGCCCACTTGCTTGTCTTTCTAGAAATCAAAGGTAACTGTAAAGCTTTTCTCCAGCGCCATAATTAAAAAATATTTTCCCCTATCAGCCTTCACATCTATATATGGTGATCAGTAATGCAAGAGTGTATATGATCTTGACCTTGGTCTCCAGTAACACATTTTACACATGATGATCTTTTCTAGATTCTTCATTGCTGCCCTTCTGAGTTTCAGTCTTCTTCTGATTTCTTGGCTGCAGTCTCCATTAGGACTGATGATTGAACCAAGGTATATAAACTCTTTGACTATTCCAATTTCTTCATTGTCAATGTTAAAGTTACACAGTTCCTGTGGTCATAATTTCTGTCTTAATTTTCAGCTGTTATCCTGCTTTTGCACTTTCTTTCACTTTCACTAAAAACTGTTTCAAGTCATTGCTGCTTTCTGCCAGAAAGACGGTGTTATCTGCGTATCTAAAATTACTTAGTTCCTTCTACTAATTTTTACTCCTCCTTCATCTGACACTCTGGCTTTCCATATGATATGTTCTCTAAACAAACAGAACAGATAAGGGAAGAAGTACCCTTGTCTGACACCTTTGCCAACAGAAACCATTCTGTCTTTCCATATTCTGTCCCAATGGCAGCCGCTTCTCACAATACAAGTTACGCATCAGGACAATCGAGTTCTGAGACACACTCATTTCAGAACAACCCATTGCTTCTCATTATCCACACAATCACAGGCTTTGCTGTAGTCTATAAAGCATAGATTAATCTTCTTCTGAAATTCTCTGCTGTACTTCAGTAGTCAGCAGACTTATATGATTATTTGACTTGCAATACGATCTCAAGTGATTCTTCCGTTTGGGAATTCCACTTGAACATCAGGCATTTCTTGTTCTATATAACAGGGGTCTCCAACCCCCAGTTCACGGCCCGGTGCCGGTCCCTGGGCACCCTTGAACTGGGCAGTGGACATGGATCGCCGCCACCCTCCCCGCCCGCCCGGGGACATGTCGCACTTGCGGATTTGCCTTTCCGGGAGGTCGCGCTCCCATCCCAGCCAAGAATACTGTACTTCAGAATATCTTTCCCCCAGTGGAGGTTAGCAATTTTTGTTGTGTTGGTTTTTTGCTCGACAGCATCAGGAATGGACAGGCATCGATGGAAATGCGACAGGGCGTTGGGGAAAAATCTCTGCAGGCTGCTTGCTAACTTTCGGAGCGCACATCGCTGCCTCACTTAGAAGTTGGGGTCGGGCA